TGCAGACTGAGGTCGATGATTTCTCTGTCAGTTTCCTCTTTTATTTGATTAGATTTGGCATATTGTTGTAGGAGGATTGAAAAATAAAATCTAACTTATTCAGATGTGATTCACTTCAGCTGCTGTTCTCCCGGATTGGGATGTTTCTCTGAAACCGACAGTCTAACAACCCAAAGACTCTGAAACAAAGTTACCTTTTTTTTTTTATATATATTTTAGTGATTCTTTTACTCTTAATGGCTAAAAATAAAAATAGATATATATATTTTTCGTGATCTCCTCACTAAAAAACTTTTTTTTTTTTCAAATATCCCTGAAGACACCATAAAAAAACGAAAAGATGAAAAAAATAAATGACTTATAGTCGTTACATTCCTTGTTTTTTTCATAAAATAATTTCATTAGACTCCTTTTTTTCTCTAGTTTGTGCTTCTGTGGTTTAAATTCGGCCCCCTGCATATGAAAGCTTTCCTTACAGGGGATGGGGAGCGATGGAGGGGAGGTGAAAGCTGAGCTCCTCCATCACTGCGACTGCAGGCTTCCTTTCAGCTCCTGCAGGATCTCAGTTCCGCTGCTCCACCCGATCACTTCAGCTCCAACAGAGCTGGAACCTTCCTGATCTTTCTGAGCGGCCAGCAGTTTCTCCAGGGTGAACCCCTTTCTGGGCATCACGGCGTCATGGCTCCTCAGACAGGAAGTGGGGCAGAGGTCGTTCCTGCCATCTCCCACGTAGAAGACCCGCCCGTATCCTGGCTTCTGGGACAGGTACGTCTCCAGGATCTTCTTCTTGCACATGTTGACGGGGCATCTCTCACAGTCGTGCGAATGGTAGTGCTTCACCTCCATGTAGCCCGACTCATTGATGCCGGCCGGGTTGGAGAACACCTGGTCCACGGCCGCCTGGAGCCCCGCCCCCTTCAGGATCCAGTCTATGAACAGGGTGTTGGAGTCGGAGATGATGATGCAGTCCACCGAGCTTTTGTTCTGCGATATGAAGGTGAGCAGGTCCACCATTCCAGGCGTGAAGGGGATAGTCTCCATCACACTGCGGATCGTATCAGGGACGACCCCCTGCTCTCCTGTAAATGGATTACCGGGAGATTATTCTAGAAAGAACAACACTGGAAAGAGATCTACATCCATCAGACCAACTTTAGTTCCAAGAGTTAAATAAACAAACCAAGTTTAAAATACTTTACTAGTTTAACTTTACTTGTTTTTCACTGGAAAAACAATCTAAATTTAGTGTATTTATCCTTAATTCGAGTAGCTAAATGAGAAAATTTGCCAATTGAATGAGTGTTTTTACTCTTAAAATATGCTAATTAGATAATATGCACTTGAAATAAGACAATGCAATTAAGTTTTCTTATTTAATTTCTACAATTAAGTGTAAATTGTCTCATTCCATTAGCAAAATGTCTCTTTTACCTTCTTAATCCAAGAACAAATGCACTTATTTTAAGAAAAAATTACTTATCTAGATTTTGTTTTTTTCCAGTGT